GGAATAAGCCAATATACCACGACTACGACGAAGCCACCAAAGGAGTTCCACAGCCGGTCCGAGAACAGAGAAAGACCGATGGAGCCTGTGTGCGATGTGGCCGAAAGGGTCATCTTTGGAAGTGGTGTCGTTCAGATGCTAATAGTAGTGCATCTATCTCCTCTTTCTCCCGAAAGCGTGCCCGCGATGACGATGGTGACCACGATATGGAACCACCGGAACCCCAACCTCCGAAGAAGCGTATGAGGCACCGTGCTAGGAAGCCGGCTGCTACGGCTGCGGCAGAATATACCAGTGGGCAAGCGTTTGTGCGAGAACGCGGATCGGAATCTGAGATGGATTTCGACGAGGATTTTTAAAAGGGGACTCTGATGAGTCAGGTCAGGAGTATCCCCAGATTGCTATGTTATCACTGACGGAAAACAACAAAAAAATATGAAAAGAAAAAGGCAGGAAGGGAGAGCGTCCCAACCGGAGAAAAAACAGAAAATTTTGGAGGAACCTATTTACGGTCCTCGACCTATCGTTAATCAGTTCCTTTGTTTTGCGGAAAAATGTTTACCTTGTAAGGTGTTGTTGGATACTGGTGCAACTGGTCCTGTTTTGTCTGCTGCTTTTGTTGATAGTTTTGAGGTCCCGAAGGTGAAACGAGACGTCCCGGCCCGGGTATTTGGATTTACGGGAGAAGTTATGAAGGGCACGGGACACGCCTTTACACAACCATTAATTATAATGTCAAGGGGGCATCAGACGCAACTATCATTCGAGATTGCCCCTCTCCCGGTTGGCATCGATGCAATACTACCGAACTGGTGGTTAAAAGAACACAAGCCGGTTATAGGGTCAAATGGGGAAGTCTCCTACGATGGTGAGAACTGTAAGAGTCGATGCTTCACTGACAAGGAACCTCAAGTAGAGATGGACGAGGGTGTATTGGACGATCCGGAGGCCCAATTCATCGGTAGCATTTGTCTTTTGGAAGATGAATCGGTCAACCTCCGTGAAACTCTTCCCTCTTGGCTCCATGGGTTCCTTAAAGTCTTCCTACCGTCGGAAGCAGACAAATTACCACCGCATCGATCTTACGACCATGCGATAGACCTTGAACCAGGGAAGCAGCCACCATGGGGACCCGTTTACTCCCTATCCGAAGTCGAACTAAAAGTGCTTCGGGAGTACCTAGATAAAATGTTGAGATTGGGAAAGATTAGGCCGAGCAAATCCCCGGCAGGAGCCCCAATCCTATTTGTGAAGAAGAAGGACGGTAGTCTGCGACTTTGCGTTGACTACCGTGGACTTAACCGTGTGTCCATTAAGAACAGGTATCCTTTACCGCTTATGGACGAGCTGCGAGATCGAGTAGCAGGCGCGGTTATCTTCTCGAAGATTGACCTGAAGGAAGGTTACAACCTCATCAGGATCAAAGACGGCGACGAGTGGAAGACAGCATTCCGTACGCGGTACGGGCATTTTGAGTACCTCGTCATGCCTTTTGGGCTGGCAAACGCGCCGGCGACCTTCCAGAACATGATGAATGATGCGCTGAGGGAATTCTTGGATCAAGGTGTGGTAGTATACCTCGATGATATCCTAATATATAGCAAGTCTCGAGAGGAACATAGGGAGCTGGTCGGCAAAGTACTTGGCAGGCTACAAGAATACAACCTGGTCGCCAACCCGAAGAAATCGTTCTTCGAGCTCACCGAAATCGAGTTCCTCGGATACATCCTTGCCCCAGCAGGCGTCACCATGGCACTGGATAAGGTCATGTCTGTTACGAATTGGCAAGCCCCGCGCAGCGTTAAGGAAGTACAGATCTTCATGGGCTTTGCCAACTTCTACAGAAGGTTTATCCATAATTTCTCCGGGGTCTGTAAACCCATTACCGATTGTCTCAGGGGTGATGCTAAGAACTTTGTCTGGTCTATGACGGCCCAAGCAGCCTTCGAAAAACTCAAAACCCTGTTTACGTCTGCGCCGATCTTGGTACACTTCTCTCCAGATCGCCAGACTATCGTGGAAACGGACGCAAGTGATTTTGCTATCGCCGCAATTCTATCCCAGGTTATTGACGGAAAGACTCACCCTGTTGCCTTCTATTCTCGAAAACTTAACCCAGCGGAACTCAACTACGACGTCTGGGATAAGGAGATGTTGGGAATTGTGTCAGCCTTCAAGCAATGGCGTCACTACCTCGAAGGACCTAGCCGAACGGTCCTCGTATATACGGATCACAAGAACTTGGAATATTTTTCAACAACCAAGGTTCTTAACCGACGACAGGCAAGGTGGGCTGAGTCTTTGGCGGAATTCGACTTTAAGATTATTTACCGCCCGGGAACCAAAAATGGGAAGGCAGATGCACTATCGCGACGGCCGGAGTACCGTCCTGAAGGGGGAGGCACGCTTGGGAAACAGCCAATAGACAAGTTCTTTAAGCCCGGACAGTTGACGGAGGAAGAGTTTGTGGTATCAGCGGTGTCGCTTGCCTCCAAGGGAGTGATCGACTTGTCTAAGAATTTTCTGGATCATGTCAGGCAGGCGGCATCGGGAGACCCGATATGGGTAGGAATGAGAGAGAGAGTTGAGCAAGGGGAGAAGCCGGGGGAATTGAAGGATATTGCCGAGAAAGACGGGCTACTCTTCTATAAGAACCGACTCTACATCCCGGCAGATGACCGTATCAAGATCCGAATCGCACAGGCAGAACACGACTCGAAAGTGGCAGGACACTTTGGACAAGACAAGACACTGGAACTCATCACGCGTAACTTCTATTGGCCAAAAATGAACGAGTGGATTGATGACTACGTTCGGTCATGTGACGAGTGCCAGCGCAACAAACCCAGCCGCCATAAAAAATACGGTGCGCTTCTACCACTGTCCACGCCACATTCTGTCTGGCAATCGATATCAATGGACTTTGTCGTGCAGTTACCGGAATCAAAAGGATACAACCAAATCTGGGTAGTAGTCGATAGGTTCTCGAAGATGTCGCACTTCATCCCCCTAGTAGCAGAAACGACCGCGCAGGATTTAGCAAAGATATTCCTCGGTCAAATCTGGCGACTCCATGGGCTGCCTCTCGATATAGTTTCCGACAGGGACGCCAAATTTACTTCAAGCTTTTGGGCATCCCTTATGGAATTATTGGACGTGAGGATAAGAATGAGTACGGCTTTCCACCCTCAGACCGATGGGCAAACAGAGCGGGTCAATCAAACCCTCGAGCACTACCTACGAGCGTTCTGCAACTACGAGCAAGATGATTGGGCAGAGCTACTCCCGTTGGCGGAGTATGCTTACAACAATTCGGTTACCACCGCCACGGGTCAATCTCCGTTCTATACCAATTACGGTTACAACCCAAGAACCAATTGGCCGACGGAAGCCGAAGTGGTCAATCCAACCAGTGACCTGTACGCTCACTTCATCCGAGGAGTTCACGACTCCGCTCTCGCTCGCTTAATAGACACCCGGGAAAAGATGGGGAAATACTATGATCGGAAAAGGGACGAACCGCCGAACTTTAAGATAGGCGACATGGTCATGCTCAATGCGGCCAATATCAAGACACGTCGCTCCACCAAAAAGCTCGATCATAAGAAACTCGGCCCGTTCAAGATCATCCGACTAGCGGGTAAACGAGCCTGCGAATTGGAACTGCCACCACAAGTCAAGATCCATAACGTATTCCACATCGAACTCTTGGAACGTTATCGACAGAGCAGTATCCCAGGCCGCGAACAACGTCCCCGAGCTCCCGAGGAGGTCGATAAGGAAGGAGAGGTTTTGTACGAGGTGGAAAGTATTGTGGGAAGCCGGAAGAGTAGAAGAGGATTAGTGGAATACCTGGTGAAGTGGCGGGGCTATTCGATGAGCGACTGTACTTACCAAGTCATGGACGTTATGAACGAAGACGTACTTGATCTAGTTCGCGACTTTCATCGAAGGAACCCCAAGGCCGTGAAGGACCAACGCCTGAGACTATAGAGGTACCCTATGGGGCTAAGTCCTTCCCCTCCACAGACACCGCGGGTGATATGTGGAGCAGGTTTACTGGAACCATAGTCTGTCAGAAGATGTCCCGAGACGTGACACCCTGGAAGGGGGGTAAGCTGTTACGGGCATGCCAAGCATTTACGGAGTGAGAGAAAGGCTAGTAGATATCCCTATACCCTTTAATACTAATAGCAACACCACCATCAACTCCGGTTCGCACCTACGAGGTACGGTGCGATCAATATGCGACCAAATGCGGAGTTGCGGTTTTCCTAGTTAAAAAACACGTTTTCGACCCCAATAATAACCCCCGGAGCGTCAAACCGCCGGAGGGGAGTGTTTTGGTACCGGTGGATATATGAGGGACAGCTGGAATCAATTGGATCGAAGATCGGACCGCTCGGAGCGAATCGGCGCAAGCTGCCAGCCGACCGAGTACCTGTCGGCAGTACCTGTGGGCATGAGAGGACTCTGCTATGTGGGAAAGCGATGTGGGAAGAGGCCTGAGTAGGTAGCCTTGCCGTCCGAGACCTCCGAATAGCCGACGCTGACGATTATCCACCAGACGGCCGATGGTTAAGAAACATCGACAGGGAAACATGTATTAGAGTGGGTAAATAGGTTGAGGGGTTTCAGCGGGTTTAGGAGTTTGGGTTACGGACTTAGGAGTTAAATATTCTTGGTTGTTTTTCAGGGTCTCGGGCAGGCCCCGAGTGTATGCTGTATTATTAGAAGACTGGGTCCTCGAGACATAAGCGAGGGATATAAATACTGTGTCATTCACTGACTAGTCAAACCATCATCGGCGAAATCAGAGTCTTAACAATATAAATCGTTGATACGCGAGTTACAACTTTATTTGACTATACTTTTGGAATTACTTTACTCTATCGTGACTTCGAACTCTACCTGAACTACTACGTCGAAGACGGTCGAATTCTATACGCTAACTCTAGTGAATCTTTGTTGATAACGTAGCTCGCGGGGCCCGTATCGGATCAGGGAGAATTATACTCGACGTTGACTGAAGAGACCTTGGAGACTTCTACCTTTGTAGCTGTTAGCCGAACTCTGAGCTCTGCGAAGTGTACTCTTGTGGTCTGGTACGCATCCCTCACACCTCCGTCCTCATCATGCCATACTGAACCAACCAATTGATAGACTGTCTCTTCTTCTTCCAACATCTGGTATGGAGAGATCAGTTCAATCTTGGTGGCCGCTGGGAGACAATTCTGCTTGCAGTAGTCACTCCTCCAGCTCATGGTGTTGAGTTCCCAATTGATGTCCGGGTTATGCTTCCTAGCCCAACTAATTGGTAGGTAACCGGTCATTCCTTCTTCCAGTGTAGCCACCTCCCATCGGAGTGTCTCCTTATGATCTCCCATAGTCATGCAGACCGGGTGAGTGTAATACTCGCCTCCTCCCATCATGACATCTCCTTGAGCATCAAACATTGTCAGAGGTTGATCCCGCCGCACTAAGGGAATTCCATGTTTCCTGACAAAACTCTGGTTGAGGATAGCTCCTGTACAACCGGTATCAAACAGGAAAGACCCTTGGGCGCCTTCATCCTTTCCTTTGACCGTCCATGACAGTCCTGCCTTCAGTATAGGTCTTTTTCCATGTACTGGTAAGGAGGGAAGCCTCTGTTCCAACCTTCTTTGCTTAACAGCGGGTTCTGAACTTATTTCTCTTTGTCTTTTCAACATAGCTAATAGCTTCGGGCACTACTAAGATCAAAGATCCTTTGGTTCTATTCCCAAGCGATAATATAGCAGGTATGATGTGTGGTAGTTTTTGGTAGCGGTTCGGAAGTGTCTTGTAGCAAATGTAACTTTGGTAGAGCACTGACAGGCCAGCTGTTTCGGGTCCTAAACCCATCCTCAGAGTGCTTGGAGCAATCAAATAGGCAGAAACACAATCATAATTTATTCAAGAGAAACATAGAAACCGAAAAAACCCATATGAAAGAAAACTAGTAAACATAGACTCAAAACAGACACTTTTCTACCAGAGGATTTCATTGTCCGAGTCTTGCTCAGGCTGGAAAACAAAATCTTCTTTAACCTCCGGGAGTACAACAAGTGGATCCTCTGCTACAACAGCAGCCACTTTAGCCTTCTTCTGAGAGTTGGACTTGCCATTCCCTCTTTTCCGCTTTTGTACTCTCACTGCTGCCACTCGGACAACAGTAGGTTCCTTGGACCAACAATCGGTCCATTTGTGTCTGGACTTGCCGCACTATTGCACAAGTCAGTCTATGCACTCTACCAATAGGGAGTACCGAAAGGTCATACCTTCAAGCATACTTCTGCTTTCCTTCTTTCTTCTAGAATATCCCCCGGGATACCCTTCAGTTCCACCCCTCTGTCCTTAGGTCCGGAGGCCTTCTGAGGTCCGGAGGAGCTTGCAGCTTCTCTCTTCCTCTTGGGCTGCCGTTCCTTTTCAGCAGGAGGATCCTTCTTGGTCCGAGGGGGAGCCTTCTCAGCTGCCATCCCTTGATACCTCTCATGGGTGTGCCCTAACTCTCTCAGAGCAGCTATCCGCTCCATCAGGGACTTTGGCTTGGGATTGAAAAGAGCCCAACTCATGCCTAGGTCCGCAAGGAGGGAATTATTGATCTTATCATCCACCAACTGACCCTCATAGCCAGTCTTCCACATCAGCTGAATGATAGTATTCAAAAAGAGGTCTATTCCTCCTCGAGCTGTGTGGGTAAGGGTATTCCAATGGGCTACAGCATCATCTCTAGAGATGGCTTCGCCGAAGGCTGCTCTAAAAGCATCCACAAAGGAATCCCAGCGCTTCCATCTCTCATCTAACTTCACCGGCATCCCGCCAGCAAGACGGTTGGCGGAGGCTTGATCAATTGAATTGTGGTATGCCTCATACCATCGGATTGCTGCTTCTCCTTCCATCAAGTTGCCTGCATAGCGGATCTTAACCTCCTCAGAGGTGAAGGATAGGCTTTCTGTGAGGGATGCGTACCAGACCACAAGAGTACACTACGCAGAGCTCAGAGTTCGGCTAACAGCTACAAAGGTAGAAGTCTCCAAGGTCTCTTCAGTCAACGTCGAGTATGATTCTCCTTGATCCGAAACGGGCCCCGTGTAACGGCAGCTAGACGGGTTGGCTATGTGAGTTGTCTGGGTATAAGGGAGAAGGATAATGCAGTGTGGTTGGGTTTAGTAAAGCGGGTTTCTATTATGTTCTTTCTGTTTCTGTTACGCGAGGGTATGAGTCAGCATTGGGATAGGGTATGGATATATAAGGGGGGGCGTTGTCTCGTGATTTCTTGTTTCTCTTTCTTTCTCTTTCCTCTTTATGCAACCTCTGTACTTCACAGTTACGAATACTATTTTGTTCGCGCTACGTCATAGGGTTTACCCGGTATACTAGACCAGGTACAACCATCCATAGTCCATAGTCCACAGTCCCCGTTCTTGCCTTAGGTGTACCCTTCGGCCCCATAGTCCATAGTCCATAGCCCACGAACCTCCTACGTCCACGTCTCCGCCTCGGTTGTATTCCTTGGCTTCATAGTTTCTACGCCCATAGTCCCCGTTACACTTAGGTTGCATCCTCTACAGCCAACCAATACAACACCGCATCGCTTAGCTCCGGTCGCGACCATGTCCGACACCACTCAAGATACGTTGTTGCAGCGTCTTTCAGAATTTCTGATCACCTATGGTCCCCTCCCAGCCGATATAGACTTCGGCGAAGAACTTACTGAGGCTCATGGTCTTATTGCTGAGTGTTTGGAGGCTCTCACCAAGCCTCTCGACACCCCCACGCCACCAGAACCTGTCATCGATACGGCCCAGGAAGAGGTTATTACCAGCCTCACCACAGAACTAGAAGCAGCCAACGAAAAGGCTGCCGATTTTTGGCAAACCTTGTGCGATAACCAGGAAGATTCTACCGAGATCATCCGAGGTCGCGACGAGGTTATCATTGCTTTGAAGATTGAGCTGGAGGAGTCTAAGGCCGAAGAGGAGGAGCTTCGGTATCGCCTGGCACTACATCAGGAAAGCCTCGCCATCACTGACGAAAACCTCGCTGATGCTGAAGATGAGATTCTTCACATCACCTCTGTTGCAAAGGCCTGGGAGGCCCAAGCCAATGCCACCATCGCTGACCTTCGTTCTCGTATCTCTGTTTCCACCGCTACAGTTAAATCTCGCCATGTCTCCAAACCTCGTTACCTGGCTCCTCGCGCCAAAGATCCCCGTTCCATTAGCAATTGGCGAGAAAGGCCACTTGAAAATGGATCCCCAAAGCCGGCGTTAAAAGGTCAGCCCCTTTGGTAAAAAATGGCAAACCAAAGGGGCCAGCCCCGCCACCTGTTTCTGTTCTCCCTGTTGCCGCTGTGTCTGAGGATAAGATGTCCGAAGACTCTCTTGTTGTTACCTGCTCGGTCTCTCAGAATCCCGACTCTTTTATTCCCACCTATGCCCTTATGGATACCGGAGCCTCTGGATACGCTTTTATTGACGAATCTTTTGTACGTCACAATAATCTTACAATGACCCGCCTTAAAGTACCTCGTGAGGTAGATGTTATGGATGGAAGGCCTATTGAATCAGGACAGATCACCCATATTGTCAATGTGTCGCTGGATATTCATGGTCACCGAGAAATTGCCTCATGTTTCGTTACAAAGTTGGGACATTATCCGATCGTGATGGGAATACCGTGGATGCGACGTCACGATGTCACCATTCGGCCAAAAGATAATCTACTTATTTTTGATTCTCGGAACTGTCTTAAACACTGTTCACTCAGTGGAACGACAGTTACTGTCCATGGAATATCGATCCCTCTACCGGAACATCATACTGTTGTCGTTTCAGCAGTTGAGAAATCCACCGTCGACGTCAAGCAACTAGTACCAAAGGAATTCCACCATCGTCTCCATATGTTCCAAGAATATGATGCCTCAGCCCTTCCACCTCATCGACCGTCCCATGATATTGAGATAATATTGAAGGAAGGTAAACGACCTCCCCATGGACCGATATATGGCCTCTCCCAAATCGAACTAAAAGCACTACGGGAATACCTTGATGAAAACCTACCTAAGGGATTTATTCGGGCCAGTGAGTCGCCAGCGGGAGCACCCATACTGTTCGTAAAGAAAAGTGATGGGACTCTCCGGCTCTGTGTGGATTATCGAGGTCTCAATGCAATCACGGTTAAAAATCGATATCCGTTACCATTGTTAAAGGAAACCCTGGCCAAATTATCAAGAGCGCAATACTACACCAAGCTGGATCTACGTTGGGGATATAACCAAATCAGGGTAGCCAAGGGAGACGAATGGAAGACGGCGTTCAGGACTCGTTATGGACATTTCGAGTATACTGTAATGCCGTTTGGATTAGCGAATGCCCCTGCCACATTTCAACACTGGATCAATGATATTCTACGTCCTTACCTCGATCAATTTGTAACGGCATATCTCGATGATATCCTGATCTATTCGGAGACTCTGTCGGAGCACAAAGAGCATATTCAGAAGGTTCTGAAGGTACTTGATGAGAATCATGTTCACCTTAAACCTGAGAAATGCGAGTTTATGGTTCAGGAAACAAAGTATCTCGGCCTGATTCTCACCCCGGATGGGAATCGAATGGATCCGAAGAAAGTTGTCGATGTTTTGGAGTGGTCTACACCAAGGAACCTTCATGATGTTCAGGTATTTTTGGGATTCGCTAATTTCTATCGACGGTTTATCCTAGGATACTCAAAGATTGTTGCTCCACTTACGGCTTTGACGAAGAAAAATGTTAAGTTCGAATGGACGGATGAAAGGGAGGAAGCATTCCAGACATTGAAAAAGATGTTTACAACGGCACCCATACTAGCGCACTTTGATCCGAATCGGAAAATCGTAGTAGAAACCGATGCATCCGACTATGTTTCTGCTGCAATCCTGTCCCAATGTGATGATGAAGGAATTTTACATCCAGTTGCTTTCTTCTCAAAGAAGCATTCCCCTGCGGAATGCAACTACGAAATCTATGACAAAGAACTTCTGGCAATTGTACGATGTTTTGAGGAGTGGCGACATCATTTGGAAGGGGCACAATTTCCAATCGAAGTCCTCAGCGATCATAGGAACCTCGAATATTTCATGTCAACAAAGCTATTAAACCGTCGACAAGCCCGTTGGTCGGAATTTCTTTCACGTTTCGATTTCGTCATTCAATTTAGACCAGGGAAACAAGGGGCAAAGCCGGATGCATTGACTAGGAGGTCGGGTGACCTACCTAAGGAGGGGGATGAACGGTTGATGCATCAAAGCCAGGTGGTTTTGAAGCGAAAAAATTTGGATTTAAAGCTAAGTTTGTTCGCGGGTTCTTTTTCAAATGAATCCGCTGAAGGAATGTCCACTGTAGAAGAGTTGTTTTTAAATGCTTACCAAGTTGACAGTTTCCCGAACAAAGTTCTTGCGATGCTTCGGAACGGCATCCGTCACTCGAATAAGATCTCGCTTGCCGAATGTACGGAAGACAACAACGGTCGGCTACTTTACCGTGGCGTACTCTATGTACCCGACGACAATGATCTTCGGCTAAGACTTCTAAAAGAGTATCATGACAAACCATCGGCAGGTCATCCAGGCAGAGCGAAGACTTTGGAACTCCTGAATCGAGAGTATTACTGGCCACAAATGCGGAAGTATATCGATCAGTATGTTCGGAATTGCAATGTGTGTGCCCGTAGCAAGGCACCACGCAATGCACCCTATGGAGTACTCCGGCCGATGCCAATACCCGATGGACCATGGACGGATGTGTCAATGGACTTTGTTACCGACCTCCCAGAGAGCGATGGATACAATGCAATCTTGGTCGTGGTAGATAGGTTAACTAAGATGCGACACCTAATACCAACAACAAAGGAGGCGGACTCAAGGGAAGTAGCGAGACTGTATATTGACAATGTTTGGAAGTTACATGGATTACCTGACACTATGGTATCCGATCGAGGGACACAATTCGTTGCGGAATTCTGGAGGTCTCTTTGCGACCGTCTGGAAATATCACCAAAGTTTTCTACCGCGTTCCATCCTCAGACGGATGGGCAGACGGAAAGGATTAATGCCGTGATGGAACAGTACCTTCGGAGTTATGTTTCCTATCAACAGGACGACTGGGCCCGATGGTTACCAATGGCAGAATTTGCAACCAATAACCATGCTTCAGAAACAACGAAAATCTCTCCTTTCTACGCTAATTCGGGAAGAAATCCTCGAATGACTTTTGGACCCTTGGAACATGGTAGGACCATGGCGGAAGATCAAGCAAATGGTATTGCACGGGAAATGAAGGAAATATTAGATTTTCTACGAGATGAAATGTTCCGAGCACAAAGGATACAGGAGGAGTCGGCCAATATGAATCGGACTCCAGCGCCCCACTATCGAGTAGGAGATCGAGTTTTCTTATCAACACGCCATGTCCTCACCAAACGCCCTTCGAAGAAACTTGATTGGAAACGCATTGGACCATATATCGTGAAGCGAATCGTTAGTCCTTATGCCTATGAGTTGGAACTCCCTCGTTCTATGAAAGTTCATCCCGTATTCCATGTCTCTTTATTGTCGTCTGCAGCAAACGATCCTTTACCAGGACAACAACAGTTACCACCACCGCCGGTCGAAGTTGAAGGACAGCAGGAGTGGGAAGTCGAGGATATTTTGGATTCCAGGGATCGTCGAGGAAGATTTGAATACTTGGTTAAGTATGCCGGTTATGATGAAGCTTCGTGGCAACCATTGTCGGATGTCGAACATTCGCCCGATATTGTCAAACGATTTCACGAACGATATCCACGGAAGACTAAGCCTACCAGGAGGTAGGCTTTAGAGGGGGGAGTGGTCTGTAACGGCAGCTAGACGGGTTGGCTATGTGAGTTGTCTGGGTATAAGGGAGAAGGATAATGCAGTGTGGTTGGGTTTAGTAAAGCGGGTTTCTATTATGTTCTTTCTGTTTCT